ACATTACAACAGCCACTCTAGCGTATTCTCACTAAAGATTTGCATCTCCATACCTACAAAGTCTAACTGACTCAACAACTTCTGCAAACAGACCATGCACAGCGAAGAGAGTTCACCAATTGGATCCTTGAACAACAAGAAGTGAATGTCGATTTTGCGGACAAAATCATTTTCAGTGATGAGGCCCATTTTCACCTCGATGGCTTCGTTAATAGGCAAAACTGCCGCATTTGAGGCTTAGAAAATCCACGAATGGTTCATAAGAAAGCAATGCATCCAACACGTGTCAATGTTTGGTGTACATTGTGGTCTGGAGGAATCATTGGGCTGTTTTTCTTCGAAGACAAGGCAAGTAATGCAGTAATGGTGAATGGCGAACGGTATTGTACTATGATAACCCAGCTTTTTGTGCCTCAATTGGAAGATATTGCACTCGACGACATGTGGTTTCAGCAGGAAGGTGCCACTTACCATACCGCCCGTGAGACATTGACGTTCTTGCACGAGTCTTTTCCTGCTCGTGTCATCTCTCGGTTTGGTGACTAGAATTGGCTGCCACGCTCTTGAGATTTAACACCTTTGGACTTTTGGCTGTGGGGTTATCTGAAGTCACAGGTTTATGCCAACAAGCCCGCGACCATCGAAGCATTGATGGTCGAAATTAGACGTTTTATCAACGAAATACCACCACGTGTATGCAACTTCGTTATTCAAAATTTCGCCAAAAGAGTACGCATGTGCCAGCAAAGCCGTGGCGGCCATTTACCAGCTGTGTTGTTCCATACATAACTCCCAAATGTCTACATTATAACTCAATAAATATTTCAATATTTTGCTACAGAAAACCATGTTTTATTGAATCCTGAAATATTGCGCTCTCATTGAAACAACCTTTATATATGTAGTCTTGACAATATAGCATTTCGCATTAATGTATCATCAGCTCTCGGATTGCATGCTTTGTTTGAACGCATTTGACTGAACGGGTAAATGCACGCTCGTCGTTTGTTTTCGTCGTCTTCCACTTGCGGCTAACGCTGACACCGACCACAATCAAATAATAACAGGCATGCTTATGTAAAATTGATATCCGTTAATATTAATTAAAATGATACATTAGAGCTTTTACTGACAATATCTGAAATTTATCTGGAAAATGAAACAATCATAATGATAACAGCAGTCGCAGAAACTGCTTGCATTATTTTATTGCAATAAACGCTTGCTGGTTGGGCTGACGTCATACGCTCGCAGCTCAATGGCTGGCGATAGATCCATTGTACTTAAATCGCTGGCAAAACGAAGCCCATATAGTACCATTTAGAATATTATGGTTATATAGTTTAAAAGGGTTAATGTTTGTTTATTACGTGATAAAGAACTGAAAGATTTTCAGAAAGGAGATTCGCACGATTTGTCAAATGTAGCCGGTATTATGGTATGTACTTGATGGTACTTTAAACAATATAAATTGCATTTTAATATTTAACAAATAATCAAAAATAAATAGTATTTATGGGATATATAGATAGGTATTAGGTATCTACTTATGTTATACGGATAATTACAGTTCTGCGTGTTGTATACAAGGTGTTTCATAAACAGTATGCCAAACTATAGAGTATACTATAGGCCAGAAAGTTAAAAATTTCTTATGGGCCTGTGCCCAAAAATGAACTATTTCCAAGATATAGAGCGTGTAATATATTGTCAGAAATATGTCATATCCACTGAAATTGCAACTGTCTCTAACTGTCATCATTATTATCTTATTTATCTCCAGTAGTTTCTGAAAGAAGAAAAAACCTCTTTCTTGTAAACGGTTCATTTCATATTTATAAGAATTTTTTTGCTTATTTTGGCCAATACTATATCCTGTAGAAGTTTGGCATACTATTTTTAAAACACCTTGTATACAACACACATAGAACTGTTTTATTATATGCCTTGGTACGATTTCAAATATTTTAATTGGAGTTTTATTAGTTGTATTTATATATCCAGGAACAAAACATCATTTTTTGTCGATATGTTTTTATCACGCGCAGGGAAATGTGTTCTGTACATCGGACTCGACTACTACGACTGTGAGTTATTATAACTACCACAGTTAATTTATTTATTTATTATATGGGCATAGATTAATGTACATGTATATTTAATTTGTGCTATGGGCAGCGGCCAGCGAGCATGTGACGTCGCGCTGCTAGTCTATGTCTGGGCAACGTTTTCTAATCTCGCAACAACAACAACTGTAACGAAGTGATTATTTTATAGAATTAAATTATATAACTGGGTGCTATTTGTCTGTTTCGAAAGATATTTTAAACATTGTAGTACTGCTCCCTTAATAGTGATATTGTCAGCTGCTCCTTAATAATAGTTTAATTATTAATTATAGATAGGTAGTATTGATCTGTTCGTATAAACATTTCACATATGCCGAGTGGCAGGCAGTACGTGAATCGCGGAACGCGAAGAGCGCATATTGCCCCCCGCACTCCTGCGCTCGTCCTACCGTGAAGGACTCCGAGACTGGAAACAATCAAATCAGTTCCCGTCTGACCGCCAACCGAAGCACCACGCCGACTAGCACAGTAAGTAAATTCGTGAGTATAGAGGTAGATAGGTTTTTAAATTTAATGCGGTAAACAGGTGACGTAGTTGAAATATTCCGCGCATGACTATCGCGTCTCATCCTACTTCTGCTTTTGGGTAGTGTTTAGTAGCGTGAGGATTTTTCAGACAAGTTAGTTCCCGTCTGACCGTCAACCGAAGAACCACGCCGACCAGCACAGTAAGTAATCTTGTGAGTATAGAGGTACATAGGTATACAAATTTAATTGCGAATTTTTTTAAGTCGGTAAAAGGTGATGTAGTTGCAATATTCCGCGCATGACTACCGCGCCCTCCTACTTTTGCTTTTGGCAGAGTTTAGTAGCTTGAGGACTTTTCAAACAAGTCAGTTGCCGTTTAGCTGCCGCCGGGTTACCTGAGCACGTCATATTCTGCAGGGTAGCTTGGAGTTTGACCTTACCGTAGGCGTATTAAATATCCAACTGGTAAGCTTGCCACTCCTTCCCCCCCCTCAAAACAGAGCCGCGTTATACCGCGTGCCCTCCAGGCCACCTGAGCACGTAAAAATTCTGCAGGGTGATTTGGAGGTACTGTCATTTGTCACCGCGTGTCCTCTAGGCTACCTGAGCACGTAAAAATTCTGCAGGGTGACTTAGAGGTACTTCCGTAACCGCGTACCCGCCAGGCCACCTGAGCACGTAAAAATTCTGCAGGGTGACTTGGAGGTATCGTCCGTAACCGCGGGTCCGCCGGGCTACCTGAGCACGTCATATTTTGCAGGGTAGCTTGGAGTTTGACCTTACCGTAGTCGTCTTAAATTTGCAACTGTTAGGCTGGCCACTCCTCCCCCCCAACCGTAACCGCGTGTCCTCCAGGCCGCCTGAGCACGTCATATTCTGCAGGGCGCCTTGGAGGTACTAGATTTGGCATATCATAAGTCCGGAACCATCCATCAGCCAAGCGATAGTAAATAACCGCCATAGATAGTCATAGGGTGCTTGTATTAGCGCTTGCTTTCCCTCCTGGTATCCGTCCGCTGTCTGATTATGGCCGCTTAACTATTGCTGGTTACCTTTTTCGCCGCTTAATCTCCGTATTACCGTATCGCACCGCTTATCCGCCCACTTACTGTCCCTGCTCGCCCGTAGTTAAGACCGTTTGCAATATAAGTTGTAGTTACTAAGGTGTATATAAAGTGTAAATAATAATTAGTGTGTAGAATAAATGTAAATATATTGAATAAGAGTCGTTTCATTGACTGTAGTGTGTAAGTTACCTTTTCTCGACCCCTGTCTTATCCGTTTCTTCACTGTAGTTGCCCGGCCTCTATCGTCCCGCCGATAGAGTAAAGTGGTGTTTCTGCACTCTAAACAGAAACTGGCGCCCGAGATATCCGTACCGTGAGCACCGCCGTAGTGTTGGGCGTCAAAGTGACACTTCTGATCTTGTGTAGAACGAAATACGTCACAAAACAAAGTTCTATTGCAAATAAGCTTAAAAAATTTTCATCTGATATCAAAAGTTCGTGGACAGACTTATTAGGAAACATGCAATACATGGATGTCTTAATTCATCACAAATGATAATTACGTTTTAACAAAATCCAAATGTTGAGACCTAATGTTAGCAAATATTTTGTCCCGGGCGTGTATAACTTAGCTACCCTCTAGAAACAAAACAATCATTGTTTCACTACTACTACTACCACCCTAAATACGCCACTGTTGCTCCTCTCTTTAGGCAAATCCTAAATCCGCTACTGCGCGAGCCTGCCTCTTTTTAAAATCTTGTCTATATGCTACATGCAAAAACACTACATAAACCTTATCAAGGCACGTAAATTAGAAAGGCCAAATTGAAAAGCCACTGGATTATTAATGATTGTTAATCATTGTTAATCATAGTTTGTATTTAATTGAAAAATTTGTTTTGAAAGGAATAAAGGAATTTATTTGTTCCTCCACATACATTATTTCTTCTTGAGATACAGTTGTAGTTTCTTTCTGTTTTGTTTGTAATGTATTGACATTTTGCTTCTTCTGGAGTGTAGCTGATATGACTATTTTTCGTTTCCTTCCAGTTTTTCATAATTTTACTAATTCTTGTAGATGTTGTTTGTTTACTAATTTTGCCGCTTCATGTTGTCCTTCTGATCCCATCTACATTTCTGTGGTGTAAGAAGGCTCGCTAGTAGAAGATTCTACAATTAATTGGCAACTTCTTTAACAAACAAATAGATTTGGTTCTTTAGCAAAATTTCATTATTTTTAAAAAATCTAGGTTTTGTTCGTGACGTACATTGTTAATCAAGTTGAAGCTACCTCACGGTACATTGTGCAGGAGAGGACTACACATTTAGAGACAATTGACACACATCCAATGTCCGAGTATGCTACGATTAATTTATAGTTTAGAAAAAATCCTAGCTTCTCGACCGGGGATTAAACCCGGGACTCGAAGGTGAGAGGCAAGTGTCTTCACCGCTTAACCACGAAACCACATTCTAATTTAGGAATTTTGGCTAGTATTTTGGAATTGTTGCCTACTGTGCAATAGTTTAGTCTTCGAATGAATTGCATTTGTTATGAAAGATGACCTACAACCAGCCTAAAATATCTACTATTAATATATTCATACTCAGTAACTGAATATTATGAATCCTGAGCTATGATACTGAGCATTCAAATGTATTATAAGAACTTTTTAAGAACTGATTAATTTCTGTTTTATATTTTAGAGCGTTGCAGTATCTGCAGCCCTTTATGAAACTGAATGGTATACCTACGACCAAAATATAAAAAGTACTATTCAGATAATGATGATGCGTTCACAGAAGCCATTATCGCTTACTTTAGGTTCTTTTGGCGAGATGTCCTTAGTAACGGCTATGAAGGTGATTATTATTTATTTTTGTCAATAAAATATGTAGAATACGGAACATTATTTGGCTAAAATATAACTGAAATATAAATTCATTACAAACAAAAGAGTTACTATGGAAATGCACGAGTACCCATTTGTTTTATAGCCGGTAATGCATTCTATCGAGCAGAGATAGAGGGCGAACGTACGGCATGCGTCGAGAACTATGCTTTTCAATAGATTTCTAGCGATTAGTAAGTTCTCGGCTTATTGCTACACATAGTAATCGGTGGCTTCTTAGAATCTTCAGCCGTCAGAATGGTTGTAATAACTGCTTTCGGCAATATCCGCTTCCCGTAGTTTACCCCAAAACCGTGATTGCTATTTTCCATTTTTTTAAGTTAGTCTAAGATTAAGATTATATTAATCAGAGTAAACAAAAACAGTTTACATTAATTGAAAACTTTATTTTAAATACTAAATAAAAAAGTGTTTCTGCTAAAAATGTAATTATTAGGTTTGCTGATGATACTTCAGTTGTGTTAGTGAACCAAATAGTAAGAGCTTGATAGAAAAAAATCTCAACATTCAAACTTTTAACATAAGAGTTAAAAGTGTCGATAATATATTATTTCATTAGTTTATGTTTAGATTTTCGATTTAATTGGACATGTCACATAGAATCACTATCAAAATGTTTTGGTTGTAAGTAGTTACAGAAGACAAAAATATTATAGCAAATAAAATAAAGAAGGTTTAGTGCCATATCCCCAAAAAAAAAAACAATTATGCAGCTACGGACACGTGTTTCGCAGTTATTGCCCCTCATCAGCGTAGCGTAGCTAAGGAATTGGATCTGCGATGGGATAGATCAGGAAATAATAGATGTTTTATCATATTATGCGTATGTGCAATCTAAATTGAAATATAGTATCATAATTTGGGCTAATGCACAATGAACCAGAAAAATAGCCAATAATAAAAAAATCATAAATTTTGGCAGAAACCTGACGTAATAGATAATTTTTGTTGGCAGATTTGGATTACCTTACAGGGTGGGCAAGTTTCGAAGTTTGTAAAGGGTAACTCGGTAACTATAAGAGATACAAGAAAATGGAAGACACATTCTCTATTTCCTTTTTTTAATCAAATTCACTGGCGCAAACAAAAACTTGTTATCGTCCTTTGTTTTCGAATTATAAACAAAAGTTCGATTTTTCGACTTTTAGACACATGGAAATATCTGGGTTGTTTGTAAAGTTATGAAAAAACAACTATTACATTCTTAAGGCACTTTTTTCTGAATAATACAGTGGCATAGAGGAAATTAAAAAAAGGTGCGATTTCGAGTTATAGAAGTTATAGAAGTTTCTTCAGCATCTTCAGTATTGTAATTTTTTTGTCTTGGCTTGTTGAAGGATCCACAATTAATGAGATTTTCTTTTAACCTCTTAAAAATTGATGAAAACACGTTACTTTGTTTTCCATCACTAATTTATTATAACTTAAATGTTATTGCAGTTTTGGCACTTTAACGTGCCATTTTCAAACCATTGTTTACAAATGAATGAATTTACAAAGGTACAGGGGGTATTTATAACCTGAGAGATTGTATTAACAAGAGTTTGGAAACTTTGACAATAAACATTAACGTATTTTTAGAATGAGATAAATGAGATTGCAAAAGGTTAAGATTTAAATACATTAAAGAGGGTGATTTATATAGATCTAACTGATCATTTAGAATATTGTCGGGACTTTTGTTAGATTTAATAATTTCTGTGGATTCTAATAAATTTAATTTAAAGCATTTCTCTTGTATATGTAATATGTTTAAATCGTTTAGATTTGGGAAATTGTGGCCTGTCTCTAAAGTATGATTTGCGAAAGTTGAGTCTGTATTTTAAATCTAAACGAACGTAAATGTTCTTTATACCTTAATTCAAATAAACGACCAGTTTGACCTATATAGAAGGTATTACAGTCCGGACAAGTTAGTTTATAAACTGCTGGGTTTTTTAAATAACTAGTTTTATCGTTAGCATTATAAAATGTATTTGATAATTTGGTAGCTGACTTAAAACTAACTTTAAGATTATGTGTTGACAAAATGTTACTATTTCTGAAAAAATTAGTAACACAAACAACCAAGATATTGATATGTGTCAAAAAGTCGACAAATTGAATTTTTGTTTATAACTCGAAAACAAAAGACCATAGCAAATTTTGTTTTCGCCAGTGAACTTTTCTCAAAAAAAAGAGATTACGAATGTGTCTTCCATTTTTTTGTATCTCTTGCAGTTACATCGAAATTTGCCACCCTGTACAAAATAATACGGGAAATTACTGTTCTTTTTCAAAACACGTTTAACAAATTTTCAGGTCTGTATTATTTATTACGTTTGTTATTTTTAGATTTTTAAAGCAGCCTACACTTACGTTACATTTATACAGCATACTTATGGAGAAAAATAATCTGCAATGACATGCATAATAATGTAGATTTCTGGCAGGTAAATAAAAAACAAAGAAATATATCACTGCTTAAAAATAATTGTATTGCACAAATTATGTATAAATTAAATATTATATGACTAAAAGAAAACCTAATATTCTTTTATTCCTGACCTTTCCGAAATATAGGAGAATTTTTTTTGAAATTAAAATAAAAAATTTTTGGAATGAAATTGTTATATTATTCGTATACACCGCGTCCACTAGTCATGTATAAATTGGATAACATATTTAGAAAGCGAATAATAAAAAATTGTTCAGAAAGGCCGGTTTTTAAAAAGCTTATAACCTTCTATATATACTAATAACGCAACTTTTTAAAATAAATGTGGAAATTATCACAAGAAAGACAACAAACATGGATACGTAATAATCAAGTTGTAGACAAAATTAAGACGATCATCAGTAAGTAATATTCACGGTTACACTTCATTATTGTCTGTCAATAGTGTTTTATGGTCTTATACCGTAGAACTTATAGAAGGTGTTTTTAAATAAAATAGCAGTATACCAGCGAATCTAGAAATAAAAATAAGACCATCGAACCCAACATACCTTAGTGCATAGGCATACGTATCATAATAAGTGTAATAAAAGATATTAACTAGTTACAAAAGCAATGAACTGTTACAATTTATAACAATGTATGCACAACTTACTCCCTTAACTACCATAATGAACTAGCTCGTTTATTACAAACTGGAGAAGAGCTGCAAAAACTTTGCAGCATCAGGTATGTTTCTATGGTTGTCTCCGTGAGTGACGTTCACTGTGGTGAAAAAATATGCTTATATTTTGATAACGACCGTTCGACTTTTATTGATGTAATATAGGCATATATAAAATAGTGAATGCACTTAACGGATCTGGAGATCCACCATAAGTACTGTAACGGTTGGAAGACCCTGTATGTTAATGAAGTATAATATATTCCGGTCAACACTCATATACAACCCTTTGTAGAACAAGAAATGTTAAGATCGTATGTTTGGTTGCATACCTAGATAATTTGTATTGATTTAACGAACCTCTGAAAATTAATAATAGAAATTAAACATTCAAACGTTTATGAATTTCAACTTTATTTATTGTTTTATACAAGGATGTTTTTTAACAAAAAGTTAGGCAGGAAACATAATATAATACACAGATAGAATCACATTGTAAAAATGGAGCTGTTCGCCGATAGTAGCCACGGTCCAGCACTGTGTTGTGTAGAGATGTTATCCTTAGAAATTTAAGGCAGTTTAATATTATTTATCTTATATGAATAATCCAATTTATCATATTTTCTGGTAAACCTGAAACAGAAAAAAGAAAGTGGTGATAATATGTGGGCAATAGGAGTTCCTAAAATGTTGTAGAATTATTAGTCCATCAGTTTTATTTCTTTGATTTGAGGTCAATACTTTTATTTTTGAATTAAATAGTAAATTTTAATCTAGAATAGTTGGCAATAAATCAAATATACTGTCAGAAGTTTTTTTGGTTTAAATTCCACAAGATTGGAGAATGTGGAAGTGATAAGACAGCCATATTGCTAGCTCAAATTTCTCCAGTATAATCTTCCAAAAATCTGTGTAAAATTTAGTAAAAGGCCTCATAAAATCTAGGGTGAGTGTTTTCTAAATTCATATCAGTTAATATTCTTATCTGCCAGGGGCGTAACACATAATAATTTTTTTAGGCCTTTTCTTTTTTTGTCTTACCGTATTGCTCCTGTATTGTACTGTCCTGTACGAGTTATCTTTATGTAACTAAGCTGAAGTTACCACAGAGTATATTATCTTGCCAACTCTGATTTTTACTTAAAGTTACCACACACCCTCCAGTCAATTCATAGGATATAGGACAGCTTCTTAAAATTATAATTAACTCACCATTCAGAAACTACGTGTGTATGAGGGTTGGAACATCCCTTAGATTGTCAGCCAAGTATTCTAGGATCAGGCTCAGGTGATATCTTTTTATGGAACTACAGAGTGAGTACAATTTTGTTATCAGTGTTTTCAACATCACGAGATGGGAAAATATTAAAGAAAGGTCAGCATTACATCCATTTTATACCAATTATCAAAAATAGTGAGATTCGTTATATAATACTTACCAGTGTCTACTTTGA